TATATATATATATATATATATATATATATATATGGAATGACTCTGTTACCTGTTCTTTAATCATCAGCTGATGACTCTCCATCATTAACTCAAATTTATCCCATGTAGCTCTCAAGTTCCCAATTGTTTCAATGCCCCCACCAGCCACAGTTCGGAGAAGCTTGTTTTTACTTTCTGCTTCTTGGAAAAGAAGAAAGACCTAAGAAGAGAGATTTGATATTCGCATAAAGTTCAAATGTATAAATAAATTTATATGGGTTAATAAATAAATTAACATCATCTTTTATGATTATGCAATATTTGGAGAAGAAGAAAACAAATGTGGATCCGTACATAGGATGTAGGGAATCAAACGAACATGCCTTTTCTTGAGATTGTGCAATATTGCCAAAATGAAATACATATGGCAAATAATGAAACTCAAGAAAGTCTATTAAGAAATAATTAACAATTTTAGATAATATTTATATTCTAGAAATATTTAAATATCAAATTTGTTCAGTTCTTGATAGTAGAGAAAAATATTACCTCTTCTTTTTTGTCTTTTACATTTTTATATTTTAAACTATCTTCCGTTATTTCTTCCACTGACTGGGGCCTTATTACTAAGATATTCATAGCATCATTGAGAAATGAAGAAATATCATGTTGATGACCTACATAAACATCAAGAGAAAAAACAATAGAGTCAAAAATAATATCAACAACAACACTCAATAGGTGGACAAAAATGACAAATCCAGTCTTAAAAATTGGTTGACATTCTATCAAACATAATATCCCTATGTACTGATTTGTAACAATCCGTCCATCAAACATTTAGGATAAATCTCCCATTATATCCCACATTCTCTCATGTGGCAGAATTATAGGTGAGTTATACTAATTAGTATGTGTATTCATTGTTTTTTTATTGATTGCATAACTGAATGATACTAGACCTCTGGTATATATTATATTGATTGTTTCCAGTTCTCCTTTTTTAAATTAATTATATTACATTGCTGGTCTTTATTTTAATTTTCTGTTCCTCATAATGAGGCATCATTCTAACACAGGTAGCCGTATAAATTGCTAAATAAATAGACAAATAAAGCATCTTTGGGGCAAAAATATCTTATAGTTAGACATTTTAGACTGAAATGAAATGTACGGGTCATAAACTTGTATTATCAACCAATCAGGACACAAAACAAGTGAAAAAGCAGAAAAGAATGCTGTTTTGTCTTTGTCTTTGAGACCTTATTCCAAAAGGAAAATATCTGGCTTATAAGAGAATACACCAGGCATTAAAAGATTTGTGTGATTACTGTTAGATTGGGGGGAGGAGGGATCCAAGCATTTTGCAACACCAAAAAGCTTTTTTATATTTATTTAGTTTCAATTATAGCTTGCACATTCCTGATTCAGACTATCCTAACCTAAACACAGCAATAAAGTTAGAAATTATGCTAATCCTCAAAGCTTGGTTTTCCTCCCATTCATTGTAAATGAAAATGTCAAGGAAGAAAATCCCTGAAAATAGCTGAATAAAATCAACCATAACTGTCTCCCTCTATTTGCCAGAACAAGGTGAAAATCATTAGAAAAGACGGTGTTTTTCTTGCTTCCTCGGAACTCCTTGCTACAGCCTACAGCCATGATGGCAAACCTATGGCATGCGTGCCACAGGTTGCACACAGAGCCCTCTCTGTGGGCACCGACGCCGTCACCCCAGTTCAGCCAACTGGTCCTCGGGTTTCCTAGGCATGCATGTATGCTGGCCCAATGGTCGTCGGGTTTCCGAGGCGCACATGCGTGTTGATCAGCTGGTCAGCGGGTTTCTGGCACTCTGGCGCATGTGCACCTTCTGGTTTGGGCACTCTGTGCCTAAAAGGTTCACCATCACTGGCCTACAGTGTTCATTTAGGGCTACAACTGCACAAAAAGACCAGCTTTCACTAAAAATTAACAACAGTAAAATCTAAGAAAATTTATTTGGTGAATTAAAATTTCAGAATATTTAGTCACATTGAAATTAATAGTAATTCTGGAGCTGCAAATTTAAGAATGGCTTCTTGGGTACAAAGCAAGATTAGAAGGTACTCCTGCTACAGTAACACTTTTTGATATATTTTTTATTCCTATTTTACATGATTTTTAAATTTATTGAGCATATTTAAATGTCATAAATTCCTATCATTTCAAGTACCGTATTTCTGTGTATAAGACTTTTAAAAATATTTACCTAAAAATGGAGGGGCGTCTTATACATAGGGGGTGTGGGGAGAGGAGAACCGTGGTTGTGAAATTGATGATACCTTATCTCTACAAACTAACTTCACCAGCAAATCTTCCAATTGCTTAAAATATCAATTTCTGAATTTGGGGTATGAAAAGTTTGGTAGAGGGTTGCTATACATGATGGTGTCTTATAGAGAGAAAAATATGGTAATTAAAATAATACTTTAGGCAAAATAATAAATGTTCTTTAAAGAAAAAGCAGGAATAAATGAAAGGCTACCTTCTAAATAGTTTTTCTTGTGAACATTTACCTTGTATAGATTTTCTCAAAGACATCACTAGAGCATCATACAACTTCTGGATAAGATCATCGATGACAGACTTCACAGGATTACAGTTCACTATGAGGCAATCTACCTTAACAATGCTTCAAGGATTAGAATAAATTCATTATATTTCATTTTATTATATGACATTTAAAATAAACCCCAAATTCTAATAAGTGTTATTCAAGCAACCACATTAAGATCATTGTTCTTGATAGAACGTATCTTGAGATTAATTGGGTCAGGGAGGAAGGAAATGCTCCTTAGAATCCCTGATAATTAGATTAGATTAGATTAGATTAGATTA